GGTGACAAAAATAAATTGAAAAGAGCTAGCAAGATGTATGGTGTGACTGTTGCTAGCCTCTGTTGGCTGTGCAGCTTGCAGCTGGAGTTTCACCTGAAAACAATCAAGTTTTGTTTTCAATCTTTCACCAGGCTGGAAGGTCTTACCTCTCCCTACCTCCAGAAATGGGGAGACAACTGGCAAAAAAGAAGTTTCGGAAACCCACGGACCAAATAACAGAAACACTGAATTACACAGATGCTGGCACATTAAGGAGAATTTTACAAAAGCAAGTCTTGTCCTTTCTGCAAGCTGTTGTAAGCATCTCTGCCTCAAACCCCTCCAAAAATAGGCCAAATCTGCTATAATTCACAGACAAGCTAGCTGAAAAAAAGGAAAAAAAAAAAATCAGACTGCCTTAACTATCTATTGCCTAAATCCTAAACAAGCAAGGGGACAAAGCAGAGTACAGCATTCACCTTGAAGTAAATAACTTTTCTTCTCCTGAAACAGAAAACAGGAGTTATTAAGCTAGGCCATGTCCCAAATCATTAAAATTTGACCCTTTATTACTAGATCATTACTTCCAATTACTGCTGGTTTCTCCTCAAGGCAGTATAAGGCAGTTACCTCATGTATTTGAGCCAAAGGATGAGTCCCCTTGGCAGATGAAGGTTGTGTGGTAGCTGGGCAATGGCAGAGGAGGCTGGCTGACTGTACCTGACTGTCTTGAGACAATAGGTCCCATAAATGATTGAGGAAACTATTTTATTTCTTTCAATTCCAAGGAAAAAGATGATCTTCAACTGAATGGAGAACAGTGCTGAGGGAGAGTAGCAAATTTGTGTCCTACCAAACCAGCAGCAGCAGCCTGAAGACTGTTTTTTTATTATTACTTTTTAACATTCCAGAGGCAGCAGGGGCAGGCCCTGCCTCTGTCAGTCCTGCAGTCCCCAGTGACAAAAAAAAAAATAAAAAAAATCCCCAAACATAGATCCATGTTATTAAACTTATTTTCTGCTCTGTCCTCACAGACTTATTTTCTCTCTGTTCTCTTTGCCTCTGGTCCCTTTGCATCAGCCTCCCTGGGGACCAGCAGGGACACAGACAGCTCCTGCCCTATACCACAGCACTAGAGGAACCTTACAGAGCTACCTCCAAAATACTACTCTGGAGGAGGACGAAGTTTAAAGGCAGATTATCAGAAGGGTGGAGCCCCATCTGCTGAATGTTGACCTCCACAGGTCTGTCAGCATCAGCAAGGATCAAGTCCTACCGTTTGGCCTTTCGAAAAATGCCTCGTTTCTTTGTGCATAACCAGCCCTTGATTAACTCTTTCCTCAGCCTTCCTTTGCTACATAAATATTGTATCCCAAATGTAATTGGATGCTTCTAAATTTAAAGAAATGAAAAATTAGGATGACTTAATTTGAAAAACATACTCTCAAGCAGGATGAATGTCAAGGACTTCGTGTACAAGTACAGTATTTGATTTCAAGACTTGCTTTCATTTTTGAATCAAGTAAGAGACATGCATTTCAGTCTCCCACATCCCACCTGAGTCCCAGTGCCTGTGCTGCAGGTCTGCCCTCTCTGTTCACACACAAACCAGTCTGGATCCAAACACATTTCTAAAAGATCCTTTCAAAGTAGAAAATATTTCCACAAAAAGACTTTGTTTCCACCAACTGTCAAGAACTTGTCTCTGCTTAAAGGCTGTTAGTATTAAAGCAGAGTGCATTTCAAATACAATGGATTATACAAATATGAAACTGTAGTTCAAAGCCCCTGTTCTAGTCACACAGAAATGGTGGAGAGCTGTTCAGAATAAGCCCATGTATAGGCAGGTCCCCAGAGCCAGGCCACAAAAAAGCCAATGTCCTTGCTTGAAAAAGTGAAGCTTTCTCCCCTGCTCACCTTTTGAAGTCTCAGTTCAAATTCTCTTTAGAAGAGCAGACAACTAAAAAGCCTTAGATTGCTAAGCCATGTGAACTATCCCTACTGGTGACAGCCATATGCATTTTTCCATCTTTCTGGTTAATCTGAAGAGAAATTAATCTGGATAGTCCTGTTTCTTTAAAGTTTAGCAGGGGTATCAGAGGGGAAGGCTTTGAGGCAGCAGAGCTCAGTCTACTACTGCTGCCTTAGTGAATCTTGCTCTGTACAAGCCTCAGAGCACACAGTCCGTGACTCACTCTCTCACATACTGCAGAACTAATTGCTGGTTTAGTACCCACCCACAAAAGCCTGCAAAAGCCTCACCAAAAATCTCTGCAAAGCACAGGAATCTTCACTCAAATGGACAGAAGCAAAATCCTTACCCTTCCTGCTTCCCTAGGCACAAACACAGATGAGAGAGAGAGAGAGAGAGAGAGAGAGAGAGAGAGAGAGAGAGGGGAACGGAGTAAAACCAGCCTAATGCTGCTTTAAATGATTCCAGCAATATCAAACAGATCAAAAGAACAACATGATCTACTATAAAAGGAAGAAACATAAAACATTCAAACACCCAAACACAAAACCAAAGCATAAAAAACCCACCCAACAACTCAAAACCCAGAACTACTTCCCACAGCAATCAAGAAATAATTGTGAACTTTTTTGCACCTAAAATTCACATATATTTTTCAGATTGCTCAAACTGGGAAATGATAGCATCATCTACCTCTCCTGTCATTGCAGACTGAAGTGTGAAATAGAAATGGCATTTTTGTTAAAATACTCAAAATAAGTCTTGTTTTTAAGTTGAAGACTGCAATCGGAAGTGGCAATATATTACACTCCTTTAAAGGTAATTACCTTGCTTACTGTAAACAGTGCATTTAGCATACTACATTTGAGCATGCAGAAATAAACAAAATCCACGTATTTGTATTTTCAAGTATGAAGCAACGGTTTTCATCTCCCACCTCCGCATTTTCACAAATTTGTTCTACTGTACATATAAAAACCTTACACTTGCCCCTGAAAGACTTTAAATCAACTCTGTTCAAGTCTCTGAGCCAGACCTCTTTCTTTTTCTGCCAAGAACCTGGAGCTTCTTTTCTGGCTGCAAATAATTATTCTGTTCCTGTAGACGAAGATGTAAATCCATGCTGTTCTCCATTTAGATTTGTCTTTGGAAATTCCATGAGGACCTTAAGGGAAAACTTTTCATTCAGTTTATCTCTTGAGTTTCCTGATCTCACAGTTCAGACATCGATTTGTCTTTAATACTCCTAATTTTTGATTTTTATTTTTTTTTCCCCACTCAGAAAAGCTCTGCAATTCATAAAAAATTGTACCAGGTATTTTCAATCCAGCTACTTTTGTTCTCTGTGTTTTAGCCCTGCTCCTCTCCTATTCCAAGCCATGTGATGTGGCAAGTTCACATAGCTCTAACCGAATCTCCAAACTAAAGGACAGAAAAGCCTCACTAAAGAGTATTTGGGCTAACACACTCCTCTGTTCTTCCTCTCTGCAGGAGAGGAAAAACCTTAGAGTATAGGTGAAAAGGCCCTGTTGGAATAAGATTTGCCACTGCAAGTACCAGAAAATAGATCTGTCTTAGCAGTAGAGCTTGTCTCTAAAGGTACAGAGTCACCAACCTCCCCTCTGGTTGCCTGCTAAGACTTTTTAAAAAGAGCATGAAAACTTCAGCAAGGCTAATCACAAAGGCACCTCATAGTTCTCACTTTCAACAGGGAAAGCAGGTAATAAATACTCTCTGGAGAACCCTTTCCTGGGATCTGAAGGGCCAGGGTCTCCAGGAGTCAACATGACAGGCTTCAAGCCATGGACCTGAGGAGCTGTGGGACTTCTCATGAATGTCAGGACTTCTGTGAAGAACAGGCAAGTTTGGTCCCTCCTGCTTTTGCAAATCTACACTATGACACACACCTACTCTGAGTGGCAACGGAGACTACTGGGTTTGTCACTTCTAATTTAAAAGCTTTATGCTACACACAATTACCCCAAGGCAGTAAAACATGATCTATTTCAATTTAGATTTGATCTGCTCTTTCATGCAGGCACAAAGCATATTGTAGCTTTTAATCAATTAGAGTCCTAGGATCATTGAATTATTTAGTTTAGAAAGGTCTTCATGAAGTCCAACCATAAACCTAACCCTGCCAATTCCACTACTAAACCATGTCTCCAAGTGCCATGTCTACACATCTTTTAAATACTTCACATTAAACTGAGCACAGTCAAGCAGCAAGACCTTAATTAGTAGCTCCATTAATATCTATGCCGTGAGTATGGTCACATACAAGAAAAAAAATTACCACTCTGCATGTTTCATCTGTACTTTGTGAACTAAGCATAAAATCTGGTGGCATCCCAACGTCCTTCAACAACTTTGCAAGTTAGGCAAGTTGCACAAAGTTCAACTATTTACAAAGCTCATAGCTATACAGAGCCATCTATTTCTAGCCAAGCTACAGAACAAATTTCATAGATCCTGAAATTATTTCATTTGTCAACATCAACCTATTCTTTGCCCATCAGAGCTGAGTTATTTTAGCAGGACTTTTTCAGAACACCTGAGCCAGCAGATGCTCTAGGCTATACAGAAACAGCTAGAGAAATGCAGCCTTCAAATGATGGAAAGCCCAGAAATCTTTGGTTGGTGACAATACCCAATGTATTTCTCATAAACTGAATAATGAAACAAGGTCAGCTGGACACTCCCATAGCTAAAAATATACTCAGGGTCTCAAAGCAGGGTGAGGACAGCTTGGACACAATTTCCATGGTGCCGTAACTGGGCAGATCTCACCCCCTCAGCTGGCCAGGTACACCTGTACAAACTGACTGCCCTACAAGCACACACTTAAAACCACTAGGAGTTCTGTATGCCCACTTCTCATCCACAGGAGGACAGCACCACAACAGAAGCACAAGGAGGAGCTCTCAGCAGCCTTTACAATAACCCTGCAGTAGGTCTGTAACATCCTTTCTGCTCCCCCAGCAATACAAGCAGGCAAAGCAATCTAAATCACAGGAAAGGCTGGAACACAATGAGACAAACCAGCTTGTGATGGCATGATTTTAGAAAGCATACTTTATTGCAATTGAGACTGATGAACAACGTGGGGTTCTGCCTTTACAGAGGAAGTGTCATCTTTTTCACAATGGAGAAAGCAGAGTCTGTCCAAAATCAGGATTAGAGCCCAGCTCCCTGCAGTATTATTTTAACAGTTTAACAACAGCACCAAGGCAGCAAACCATAAATCCCCTATTAACTTAAGGAGGAACAAAACTGGATATTCTTGTAAAGTCAGCATTGCAAACACAAGGCTTATGCAACATAGCCTCACTCTTTTCTCCTTTTTGAAGAGTTAAATAAGGTATAATTTAGCTATCATATTACACTATTTAAAATAAGCAAGTCCTCAGCTTTGTAGTTATAGACTGCACTGCTTAGCTGAAGTTTGCTTATTCTATAAAGTGTTTGATAGAAAAGCATATTTTCATTTAATTCATGCTAACATCCTTAAAACCAAAGGTCAAAAACAAGGAAACAACAGCTTAACTGTAGCTAAGTAGGTCTTGGATGGAACCCAGAGCTGTCAAGAACCAAAATCTTCACAAGAGTAACAGAAACTTCAGCTTTTGCTTTCTATTTAATTGAACACAATTTTTATGAGAATCAGTTTACATAAAAATATTTTTTAAAAACAGAACCCAATTTTGAAGAAAACCGGAATCAAACAGAGTGTTTGATCAGATTTTAAGTTAATGTATTTTTAAGCTGTAAAAACATTTGCATATGAATGAATATCTGTACTGCAGATGTTCCACACCTGTTTGCATTCTGCAGAAGGACAGTTGCTTTTCCATGTTTTTATTTCAATCACAACACAGAGAAAACTCAGATCTAGAACTCCATCTCTCATTTCAGGGAAATTATGACTGAAGTCCACATAATATGTTTTTCTTCTTCTTCATTCAAAGCAAACTCTTTTTTCTTTTTCAATTTTGATATAGGTCTTCAAAGTAGAATAGCTTGTCATAGACTTTTGAATTCTCCTGTACTGAATTAGAAGCAGTGACACTGAGATTTACTGCATAAAACAGAACTTGACTTTTGTATAAGCATTAAGGAAAATTATGTCTTTCTTTCACTGCATCATCAAGGAAGTGTTTACACTTAAAATCAACATTTTATTACTTTTCACCCTTTGGATGACAAGTCAATTACCTCTTGTCTCCTTTCACCTCTCATTTCCCTCACTAGCAGCTCTTTGAAACTTTCAGTACAGTATTTTTCTAGTATTTCACTTGCAAATCTCAAGTTCAGGTTGCATTCTCAGTACAAGCAACAGATTTGCCTGAGTACTCCCACATGTTCTTTCTTCCTTCCCATGGTCACTCCCTATATTACCGAATGTAATGGATGTCTGACAATTACCTTGAAGGACTATGTAATCAAAAATGTAGCTTAAAAAACCCAAGCAAACCAAGACAAAAGGTTAGAAATAAAGAAACACGATAACAAGAAGCTTCCTTTTCCTCATAACAAAACAATCAATGTAGCACATTGACCTGTAACAGGCAGGAATAATATGGTCTAGGGTAGTGCCAAGAATCACTTGGAACAAGTCATTTTTGCATCTTGGCAGAACCACCCTTCAAGAAAAAAAGGCCATGCCTACAATCAGCAGTTTCCCAGAGATGACTTGTGGTGGTAGCTATCCAGATTACCTCTCCATGGACCCAATCCAAAACTCATTACTGGCAACAGGCTTTTGAAACAGCCCTGTTACATCTTTTTTTCCACAATAGAAAAATTTTATGTTTAATTGATAGACTGGAAATAATTTTCAACTCTTTGAAGTCTGGGATTAACAAGAGAAAAGGACACAATGTTTGCCTTTGGCTTGGCAAGCAATACCTTGGGGGGAAAAAAACCTCTGTGATCTAGAAATGAGGCAATTTATACAGTGCTCAGTATGGTGCAGGTACATCAGAAGATACCTTTACAATTAAAGGTCTGGAGATAGAAAAATTACCAGTTACTACCATCTAGCAACACAATTTAGTTAGACTTTACCAACAAATCTTTACAGAAGAATCATAAATGGTGTTCAAAAAATGAAAGATTTTAATTAAAACAATTCAATCTGAATTTATTTTAACACCATGCCTGCAATAGTGTTCAGACATTAGCATCAACAGACTAATATGAAATAAAATATTCAAAATCCTGTAATTTCACTATTTTATTGTTTTAGGATTACATAATCTATTCAAAATAAATGCTGGGTCTTTTTTTCTTCAGGAAACTGGCCATATTTGAAGGAACTAGTACTTTCAGTAGTATTTCAGACCACAGGACAGTGGTGGAGTAAGCAGCTGATCCACATAAAAGCTGTTTTGTTTAATTAGTTTTCAGTGGGGTCAAGACACTGAATTAGTTTGCAGTTTAAACGTATCATGTCAGTACAAAGCCAGGAAAGTGTGGGCCAGGAAAAACATATGACAAAGTTGGGACTATTGGAATCTTTATATATATATGAAACTGAATATGGAATTTCACTATTCAGTGATAAGTAGGTAATATTAAATATAGAGAAATATTTTCAATTGACACAAAATAATAACTCCAAACCCAAAGCATGTCTAAATAAAAATAATATACAAACCCACATCTCAGAAATTCAGGAAGTTATCTCCTTCAGGAGGTTGTCTTTCCCAGACAGCACAGTCTACAATCAGTATTGTCATGCAGTGGAGGAAGTAACTGTGCTCCACCATCCCCTGAAATCTCTGTTTGCCAAGGGAACCATGTGTATTAGGAAATGCTACCCCCTATCGTCTGACTAGTCTGAACAGCTTACATCTTAAAACAATCATTTGCAGGGGTTAACTCTGCTTTTCTTGAAAATTACTACACAAATCATAAGCCTTCTTTTTACTTATCAATTTAGTTCTTCACTACAGCACTGTGACCCTTACAGCACTTTCCCTCTTACTGCTTCTTCCAATAGGAAAGCAAGACAGAGCCTGAAAAATAATTATTACTTCAAATAACTGACTTTTTTTAAGTTCTGCATGAAAGTTTGAATTCTTTTTTTCTTTCTCCATTTTGTGTAAGTACTACTTCAAACCCTTACACATTCTTTTACCTGTTGTCTTTCCACTCCCATCCCTTTACAAAACCTGAAAACTAAACTCTTCTAAAAGCCCTAATTTCAAAGATTTTATATTTAAATGTCTTTTCTAAAAAGCTGAAGCAGCAGGCTCTGAAGACATAAGAATGCTATTGTAAAAATAACTAGACAATGATCTTTGAATTCAACTATAATATGAAAAATTTCTTTTTCAAAAGGTGTATCCCTTCCCCATAAACAAGGAAAAAGAGAAAAGCGGGAAATAATATTCTTTCTGCCAGTCCCTGCTTAAGAAAAGCTGCAAAACTCACTTTAAGAGTATTTAGTACCATGCCAGCAGGATATTAGATTTAAAAGGAAAATTATTTTTCAGCTTATTCTACATTCTACTTGGTTTACAGTATATAGAATGAAAGAAACACAAGAAAGAGGAGAAAGATTGCCAGGACAAAGCACAAAGTATAATACAGTCTGGGGAGCAAGTGGTGGGGAACACCAAGTAGAAAACATAAGGTATAAGACCTTTGTATCCTAATTTAATTTAGAATCGGAGTTGATGTTGACACCTCTGATTTTCTTTGAAAAGAAACTGAAATTTGAATTCCTCTAAAACCTTTTTGCCTTCTAACCCCTGTTTCTAGCATTTTTGAGTAGAAAACAAGAATTGAGTAGATCTTAGAAAAACAAGTACCAACCATTTAAGGGTGATTTTGATTAAATACAATACTGATGTGTCAACTTGAAGATGCTCACACTGCAACTTTTGTGTATCACTACCTATAAACAAACAGTGTGACAGGTCTTTTTTAATTGCTGCTTAAGGATGGAAGCATTACAGTGTATTATTGCTACTATTTAAGTTTCCCTCAAGCCAGCAGTATAGCTAAGGCATATCATAAAGCCCTTCTGACCTTGGTCTGGACACAAGACATGGATGATATTATCACATATAATGACATTATAATGACATAATTTGTTTACTGACACCATAATGTAAAGTATGAAATACAGGCTGCCAGAAATACAGTCAACATAATCTTCCATCTTTGCTCTCCAGATGATTTCCAAGGCAGGGAGAGTAAACAGCCTTCTCCCAGCTTTCTTAGTTTCCACAGCTGAGAGTGTAGGATGTTTACAATACCTGTCACTCAGAGCTCCCAAGAACAGATCAAATGTCAGCAGACCTACTACTGACTTCATCACTGCTGGAAACATGCAGATGTCAAGTAATGGGAGGAAAAAATCCATACCCATGACCATATGAATCCAAATCAGTAGCAGTCCTTCGTGAACAAGTTGCAGGGTCTAAGAAAGAAGTTCAAAATAAGGCTGAGCTTCAGCATCTCCAGAGGACAGCCAGTGTTATTGCCACCATGGTACTGCAACGCTTATTGCCAGTTCTCTCCAAAGTACTCTTGCATGTCTTGACGTCGTGTCTGCAGAAAACAGAATTCACCATTTTAATGAGTGCACATAGCAGAAAAAATGGTCTTTGCATTCTACAAGTAAGAGCTGTCATGTAATTTCCAAAGGACTGGAAGCTTTTTAACACTATTTAAAAGTGATATTTAGAGTGCTGGCTCACAGAATGCCTACACTATCTAGCTTACTTTTAATTAACAGAGGAATGATGGTTCAAGGACACTTTTGAATACTGTGATGAAAAGAATACTTTTAAAGATACAGCCTGGCAAATTTAAGAGTTTGGTTAAATAACCACATGTGGCTGTTAACAGCAGTCTAGGTTCATTTGAGATTGTACTTTATGCTCAGAAACACTTCAATTATTCAGTTTCCTTGAAGGCATCATCTCTAAGAGGAAAATAAAAACCCAAACAAAATAAAATTAAAAATATATATAATCCATTTAGAAAAAAGAAAAAAATATCATGTAGAACAAAAGTCAAAATCCTCAGAAGAGAAAAAAAATTCCCCTTAAACAGGTTTTAGTACAACATAAGAAAAACTTTGGGACAAGATTATTAATACTTTCTGCTTTAAAAAACAATGCATATGCAAAAAAACCCCATATTCAAGTAACCAGGGTCCCAAATTGTGTTACAGAAGCACAGCGATGTACTTTGAAAAAAAAGTTAATCTGCTGTTCAAAGGTGGGAGCTTTAACTGAGAGCACAAACCATAGAAGGGTTGCCCCAATACTAGTAGAGTACTTATCATCATATGAACACAATTTATAGCATAGTGTAGTGGCCAGCTTTCTGAGGAAACAGCTGATCTGTGGCATGAAGTATGTTTTATTTGGACCAAAGTAACTATATAGTTTTCTCCTCTACCATTATCTATATATCATTCCAGTACTTCTAAAATTCAGGATAGGTATCTAAAAGGCAGTGCCTGGAGGGAATTGATCTGGTCAGGAAACACAACAGCAGCAGGAGGGGAAAGAAGGGGACTACATAATTATCCATTGCTTGGCCATTCACAAGGAGGCCTAGAGATTTGCAGGAGGCTCTAAAGTTGAAATAGATTTGAAGACACATATAGATCATCTTTACCTTTTAGTCTTCTATAAAAGAACACTGACTGCAAGGGCAAGGCACAAATTGTAAGAATTAAAAGTTTTCTTTCTCATGCTATGTGTCCTCAATAAATCATCTCTCCAGTCCACAGTTAAACAACCTATGCTAGTTCTGCACTAAGAAGATGCATCTCTCCTCAAACACTCCACCAGCTTTACATGTCTGTGGGTTCTGTGGGTTGGATCTCTGTCAAGCATACAACAGAAGAGGAAAATCCCTGTCTCTAATCAAGCAGCCACACCAATCAGATTGCCAGGTAGCCCTGCAAGAAACTGACTGGCATTGGCTCAACAATGAATCCATTGGTAGAAACAAAAGCAAAAGTGCAGAAATAAAATCATGGAGCTGCTGCTCTCTCAGACCAAGGAAAAGGAGTAAATCTCAGAATAATCCAGGTGTAAACACCTCAATAGGTAATCTAGTCCCAGGTCCTCCTGGAGGCAGAGCCAGTTTTGAAATCCCACATGAACTGCTGCAAGAGACCTTATATTTCTCATTCGAGGCTTTGCAGATTAAGCATGATTTGCAGAAGGCACTTCAGCCCTTTACAAGAGAAAGTTAAAAAAATAATACTGTGCTAGTCTTTGATAGAATTTACCACAGTAAATCTTCAATCTTCAGCTGACAGGTGTCTGATATTTCTATTGCTAACAGATCCTATTTTGATCCTGCAAGAGCTACGATGATTTTTTTATATTTAAAACATCAATCATGATATCATCTTGGTTTGCATATTTTACTACCACTGGTTAGAACTGCTATTTATAATTACGTTTTCAGTACAATTCAAATTTCAGGGCTTAAAAATCAGACAGCTGACTTAGAAAATATTAACTTACTTTACACTCTAACATTAGAACAGCTCTTCCAAGTTTAACACATGGAACAAAAAAAATGACTCTTCTCCCAATAACCTAGTATGTTCCCAATATAAAAACCCCCACACAACTATGTAAATTCAGAAAGAATTGATATTGTATTTGCTAAAAGGTAAGTAGAAGGAAAAAACCCACAAAACTGTCTACAGCAGGAAAAATTTCTGCTTTCAAAATAAGTCTATGAACTACTGGAGCTGTGGGCTTCATAGCTAAGAAAATTGTGAGAGCCAGTGCTATAACAGGCAACATACTGTCAGCACACAGAGAAGAAAACTTGTCAAGGCAAACGATGCAGTGACAAGGAAATATTCAAAACACATGAAGCAAAAAGAATCTGGAGCTTCAGAACAAGAAAAATCAGAATAAAAAGTAAGTAACATATTATAGTCTCAGAGAATCCCAAACACTCTGGAGACTTATATATTCTTCAGCTTTAGCATTTAAATGAATAAGACAAGTGACTCTGGACTTAGTTTTGCCTATATATTTCAGATGTGCCTCTGAAAGGTGCACCAGGTAACTTCAAACAATTTAAGGAAATCTTTTTGCAAGAACTTAATTTATACTCAACACAGTAATTCCTATTCTAAAGGGCATACAGTCAAAACAAATGACAGAAGAACATGACAGCAATTAAATGATGATTTTAAGCACAGGTCCACAATATTTCTACTGCTTCTCTATTGACTGCCTTTGACTTCCAAATTGTTTCAGTTGGCTACTCCCTTTTTACTAATATTTATGTAGTCAAAGATGCATGAACTTGGATAAGAGGAGGATAAGAAGCTACATATATTACACCCCCTTGCCAAAAGAAATGCCTACCACTTGCCAGGCACAGTTCGTTGTCTATGTCTAGGTACCCAGATACAGCAACCTGCCTGCCCCAGCTTCCACTGCAAAGCACGTCCTTCGATAGGTGTCTAAGAAATACAGCTGGTGATGTGCCAGCAAGCCTTGCACAAAGCTAGGCTAAAATTCTTCCTCTGAAGGTTCTAAGGGAAGGCATCCATAGCCACACAAGTGATCATGGTCTCAGCAAAGTTATCGCAAAAGTAAAAATTAAGTACTGCAATAAAAGCTTTCTCCCCCAGATCTCCAAAAGGCAAGGTGTTAGTGACATAGTTATTTACCTGATCCTAAAACCTGCTCTCCCTTGGCTTCACTCTCCTACACTTGAGGGATATGACTGTAAAATGTAGTACAGAGAATTATCTAAGAAGCAGCTGCTAAAAGAATGCAGTGCAACAACAAAATAACAAACCAAAACTAAAGCACTGCCCTGCCATCACCTGGAAAGAAGAGACTGTGTGTTGCCCAGTAAATGCCACTATTAAGAAACTATAGTCTTTAATTTTCTTTTATTTTACAACTAAGCACAAAAGGGAACGACTAAAAAGAAAACATATTCCCTTTGTAGCAAGTTAGATGTTTAATTTCTGGTAATGACAAATTGGGTGCCAACATGCACAAATTACTCACTGCTCACTTTAGAGAATACTTGTTATAGCCAGAACCACTCAATTATATCACCCAACAGCAGAGGACCATAAAATAAAGCAAAATTACCCTGTTTGCAAACAGGGAGAAAATTATATATACTGCAAAGTCTAACTCCCCTACAGGCTTGTAAGATGAGCTTACTTTATGCTACCTTCTGTGTACTCATGGCCCCCTAAAAAAGCTAATCTTTCTGCTCTGCATCAAGCACACCATTAAAATGGGGGCAATTATCATTGAATATTATAAATATTATGAGATTAGCAAAACTAATGACGCACTATTTATATAGGAAAGCCTCTTACACTGCTTTTTACAAAAATTTAAAACTATCTCAGAATCTTCGTCAAAATCCATAATGCAGAGAGGGAAGGCTAACCTGCCTACATAGAGGCTTACCTGACCCACATGCAGTGACCCACTTGAGGGACAAAACACTTGTGCTGAATCCCCCTTCTGAATACAAACAGCTGAAAAAGGAGGAGGCCCAGGGAAGACTGCAAGCTATTCAAAACTCTTCCCTCTCTGCCTGGTGGAATCCTGGAGACTGTGGTCTTGACATTTGGAGACATTCCCAATTTACCTCCTTCACTGATCAGCTACCCCTCAAGAAACATCTAGTATACAGTGTAACAGCCAAGTCAGTCTGAAGAACTGAGATTTGGACTTGGGAAGGCGCAGTCATAGTGTCAAACATCCTTAGAGCTCAGCTAGAGCCTGGTGGATCCCACTTCCTATGTCTCCATATCTGTGTGGTAACCACAAAAACTACAAAACACTCAGTACTGCTGTTTTCTTACACGAAGAACAATTTCTCTCAAAATTGCCAAGTTTGCTTGCTCATCTGCCTATTCCTGGAAGGCCACACAGTTCCAGTCAACACCTGGTAACAATGATTTGCTATCAACTTTCTCAAAAAAAAGACTACTTGCATGTTTCTAAGATGACTTCAATCCTATGACAATGAATTCTGTTTCTTCCCATCTTAAACATTCTGTCCTTCGCTTTAGAAATATATATTTATATATGTGGGTATGTAAAGAGGAACCCTGGAGTCTCTGTCTCATGGGGAAGACCTAAAAATGAAGGTGGATCTCAGGGTTCTCCTTCAGCTCTCCTTTTAGCTTCAAAGAAAGGAAACTACTGCATTCATTTTCTTCATAAGCCTTGCAAATATTTGAAGGGAAAGAAAAATAATAAAATAATAATGTTTCCTTTTCCATATAACTGCTATAAGACACACAAAAAACAATCTGAAAAAGTCAATACCTTTTTAAGCTAGGTAAAAGAATTATTAGTTTCAACAATTTTAAATTTTTTGCCCCAGAGTCAGAAGCAAGACAGTGGGAAAAGAACAGCCACCAAACATAAGGCACAAAATAAGGTGGAACAGCCCAAAATACATAAGCAGGCATATTCTAGACAGGGAATTAATTGGCCAACCTTTGAATGAAAAATATTTCAAATACTGTATAAACATATAAACTGCCACCAGATGTCAGTAAAGCCTAGAGAATT